TAACAGACCTCCTTTTGCCCCACCACTTAAATAGCTGAACCTGGACATAAGCTGGGTTTGGTTTTCTTCTTTTTTTTTTTTCCTCTTATTTTTTTTTAAGACTCTAACTTTGCAATCAATGAGCATCATAGGTAGAAACCAATCTGCTCACATTTTTCTAGCCAAAACAAAACTAAATGTTATCACTGCTGATGCCCAAGAACATTCTAGGAGAGTATATGACTGGTAGAGTCTGAATTAGGGGAAGCGGGAATAATTGCTTATGCATCTTTTTATAGGCCTTATTAATAATTTCTCTTACTCTGCACAGCATAACTTAATCCAAATTGGCTGAATATGGTAAATAATCTTTTTATGTACCTCAGCTGATGCAGTTGAAATCGCAGAAAAGTGTCTTTCTAATTTATGGATAAATAAAATCCCTCATACTTATAGACTGTGATTCCAGGAGGGTAGGACTGTAAAATCTGAAGAGCACACCTGCAAATCAGATTACCATCTTGCAGGAAAAGAAATGGATATGTATAATAACCATGAAATATATTGTAATTAAGTTGCACAGAGTCATACTCAACCTTGGTGTAATTCTGCTGCAGTTGGTGGAGTTATGACAGAAGTTCAATGTTTAGCTTTTGTAGTCTTTCTTTTTAAAATTGTAGTCTACCTGACTTTCCTTTTTTGGCTCACTTTGATAGGTAATCAAGATGACACATGCATCTGTAGAAATACATAGATTAGTAGAGTGACAGAAGACAAAGCAGGATCTCTTTCCTGCATTAGCATCTGGCATCTCTAAAAGAAATAAAAGCTTTAAGAGGCTCTTCTCCTACCAGACCATGTTAAAAGAAACAAATGTAATGTACCGAGCATGTCTGACTTTAGATCTATTAATTTAACAAACAACTACGTACTTGGTTAGCATATATATATATTAAAAAAAATAAGAACTACAGCAACAACAACAACAATAATAATAATAACAATAATAATAATAATAATAATAATAAACAACTCAGCAGCAGCAGTAAGGATTGTTGCAGTCTGACACCTGAGAAAGACCCTCCTTTTCAAAACTCTGCAGTTATCTATTACAATCTCTCTGTTTAAGAGAACACCTACCTGTCTGCTTATGTATTTTGCTGGGAGAGGTCTGAAAGCTCCTTAAACTGTTATTTGAGACAACTTTTTTTGGCATGTATATATTTCACAAACTGTAAAATCTTTTCCCTTTTTATTAAACAAAAAACCCCAAAACCTTTATCTTGAGTATATAAAACAGTGTATAGTACAAGAAAATGGAGTTAGTGGTCTGAATTACCAGTTTTGCAATCTAAGTTGTCAGACTTCATCCTTTCTGCAAAATACATTTAAAGAAAGAACTGCAACAACAGTAAAACCTCAGAGTTGTTTGAAACAGAAGTCCCCCCCATCCCTTCTCCCTAACAGGTAGGTAGAATGAACTGCTTTGTAAGGTGCTTGTCTGAAAGTGTAAAGACAGCTCTTAGCAACTTTGAAGTATCCTCTGGTTTCCGAGCTGGGCTTCCACTTCACACTGACAAACCGTGTGACTGACAGTTGTACCAGGGGGAATTCTGCAGGTTGACTTGGAAATGTCTCAGTAAGGCACTGCAGGTGGGCAAGCTGCCTGGCTAATGCAGTGCTAGCAATCTCTGCTGCTTTTCATCATGTGCATAAAACCAAATTATCAGATGTTTCTAAACAGACATTGCTTGTATCAACTGTGACTAGAATTTGTAACTATCATACTTGAATTCAGCGCTTTCACAAATGTGAAAAATATTGCCAAGTCAAGGGCTTCTTTGGAAGTTGCTGAGGAAACAAAACAAAGAGAGGGACAAGGGCTTCTTTGTTAATTTGCATATCAATCCCTAAAAAGATTGCTCTTGCAAAGCTGCACTGCATCTGCTTCCTGGAAGTCTGTCACATGTCTAGAAAAAAACCACCAAACATTTTTTCTACAGATTACTGTATATTAAGTAATTATTATAGATAAAGACAGTGAGGATAATATCTAATAAGGAAGAGAGTGGTGGTTTCAAAAACAGCAGGTGATGTAGCCATATGTCTTACATCAAAAATAATATATCTCCAGAAAATGCTGTAGTCCTTATTTTCTGTTTCTTTTATTCTTTCTCCTGCACAAATAATAAACTGACTTGGAAAAGTGGTAATGATTCAAATTCTATTCCTCTTTTTTTTTTTTCCCTTTCTTAAATTATTGGCCAGGCTGCTAGACTGTGTTGTGACAGTCTCAGAGGGATTTTGTGTTTCCCATTATAAAATATGCTCTATAGCACAGTAACCTAAGAAAACCAAGTCACTAGAAATGAGCCACTGAACAGGAGAGAGCACTGATCGATTAATACCTATGTATTGTCCACCCTAGATTACTGAAATGGCTTTTCTGAATATGTTTCAGCTGGGTCAAATAGTCATTGCCTGGCCACAAATCACGCATACCAAACTTGAAGATGAAAAAGGCTTTATAAAGGATTGTAAGTTGTGCGCCAAAACTGGATTTATTTTAGAAAGTAAGTTCCAGCTTTAGAGTACCCTTTACTACTTTAAGAATTGCTCACAATTTAAAATATAGAAAGACTTTTTAGGCAGCATAATATAGTGGCTTCTACTAAAAAATTAGTAGGTTGTATTAAAAAACTTAGTGGTTTCTGTCCAAAAACCTTGGGTTGGAAGGTCTTGTTTTTGTCAGTATAGATTTTGAGGTCTGCATATTACTCTGTGTGCATCAATAATTATTTTACTTATATGATGCCATTTAGCCAAGAATCTCAAAATACTCATTCAAAACTTTAAGTAAAATTGGTGAGGCATTTTCCAGCTATAGGCCATGGGAATACACTAAGGCCCTGGTGATAATGTTCTAGAATAATTCCATTCATTAAAATATATCTATTAGCAAAGATATTTAGTGGTATATTTAAAATCCTGCTGTGTAGCAGAAGAAATGTTAGTCACTCTTAGAAACATCTTTTCTGCTAGTTAGCATACCCCCAAAGATGGTTTTCTTCTTTGATTCGAGATCTGAATTCACCACTTCCTTAGTTTATGAAAAGTAGCCAAACCACTTTTTTTTGCAGTGTTAACGTGCCTTCTTCCATGCCTGAGCAGAGGCAATTCCCATTTTATAATACTTGTTCAGTACTCTGAAATGTTTGTAGAGAAGATAGGTGTGGGAATGCCTGCAGCTGGAATAACAAGCCCTGAGTGCTAGGATATGACATGTTAAAGGGATCACTGTAGGCACAACTGTTGCTTCTGGGCTGGAATATGGGTACTGATGTGGAGCACATGGGCAGCTCAGAAAGTCTTTGATTCTCATAGACTAGATGAGAGTATGTTCCTTTTTGAGAAGCTGAACCAGTGTGATTAGGTCATTTTTTTTTCAGAAATTTTATATTCCCCCATCCCTGCCCTCCCCTTCTGTTTTTTTCTTTTGTCTTTCTGTGCCACTGAAGTCGCGTCTGTACAGCATATTCTTGGGGGAGGAATCAGATTTTTATTAATCCTCTCTCATCATATTCACAACAGCTTATTTTGCACAACACTTACTGGCATAGTCCCAGCTGTGCAAGATGGATTCATTTAATCAGGTTTTTTACTTTTCTGTGCTTTTCTGAATGGGTAGAAGTTTCCATAGTTCAGCTGCAAGGGATGCCATAATCTCTTCATGTCTCCTTGTAGGTTATTAGTGAAAGGCACTGCTTTGTTAAAGGCATTTCGTTACATGCTCACTATTTAGAAGTGAACTTCCTACACAGACCAATGTAGCAATTGTAATGTGCCATCAATGGTTTTCCAAAATGGGAGAAATTAGCCAGTAGAAATTGAACTGTATGCAAACAGGACATAAATTTGATGGTAATGCAGACTGCCTGCATCTTCTGATCTGTAGGTACATCATATTTACATTGATCATGCTGTACTCTAAATTATGATTTATGAATTGATAATGCACAGATGTGTGTACGTTTGGAGATAAATACATCATCTTTCCTAGTAAGTTGGAACCAGGTTCGAAACAAAAAACTTCTCAGAATACAAATACTTCCTGATATTTGGTAGTAGTTTGGCTTCAGTCCTTTGGTTTGCATTCATAGAAAAATGAAGTCTCACTGCAAATCTTGAATTCGTACTGACTTAATGTGAAGGCGAGGGAATAATATTTATTCAGAACTATAGGTTTAAGCAGTGTTACCCTATGTGTGTTGAACCAGGCAGCTGCTCCATGGTATATATAGAATCATAGAATCATAGAATCATAGAATCATAGAGTGGCCTAGGCTGGAAGGCACCTTAGAGATCATCTAGTCCAACCTCCCTGTCATGGGCAGGGATGCCTCTCAACTAGATCAGCTACTCAAGGCTCCATCCAACTTGGCCTTGAACACCTCCAGGGAGGGGGCAGCCACAACATCTCTGGGCAATTTATTCCAAAGTCTTGCCACCCTCACTTCTTCTTAAGATCCAGTCTAAATCTATTCTCCTTCAACTTAAACCCATTTCCCCTTGTCCTATCAGTGGACACTCTTGTAAAAAGTCCTTCCCCAGCTGTCCTGTAGGTTCCCTTTGGGTATTGGAAGGCAGCTATTAGGTCCTCCCGAAGTCTTCTCTTTTCCAGACTGAATAATCCCAGCTCACGCAGACTGTCCTCATAGCATCATCCTTGTGGCCCTCCTCTGAACACGCTCCAACAGATCCACGTCCCTGTTATGGGGGGGGGACCACAACTGGACGCAGTATTCAAGGTGGGGTCTCACAAGAGCAGAGTAAAAGGGGAGAATCTCCTCTCTTGACCAGCTGACCACGCTTCTCTTGATATATCCTAGGATGCGGTTGGCCGCCTGGGCTGCATGAGCACACTGCCGACTCATGTTGAGCTTCTCATCTATCAACACCCCTAAATCCTTCTCTTCAGGGCTACTCTCAACACATGTGTGTACTTACAAATAAATAAATACACAAATATGTGGATGTCATCTGTCTGTACAGGGAACACAGATTTCATGAACTATGGATTACTTCATTTGACCACAGAAGGATTCCCTGAATGATTGCATAGTGTTGGAGAAGATTTTATTCTGTAAATATTGGAATATTCATATGAATAGTAAAACTTTTCTCATTCTGTTTTTATTAAAGGAAAACCACTGCAGAAGAATAAAAATCCTAGGGGACTGTTACTACTGTGTATCAGGATTGACCCAGCCCAAAACAGATCATGCCCATTGCTGTGTTGAAATGGGACTGGATATGATTGACACCATCACGTAAGTACTGTGCATGGTGAACCTGAACAGGAGTGCTACAGGACTTCCTATGGCATTCAGAAAGTGTGTTCTCAGAAAAGCGTCAGTGTCTGCTAGCGCTGCTCACCTGTCAATTCACACTGCTGCATACAGGTCACAGGATCCTGATTTTAGGAAGGATCCTATTCTAGAAATTGATTTTCCACTCTATTTAATTGCTGTGAGGAAAAAGTGCACAAGTACACAGAGACACATACACGTAGTGATTAGGGGACAGAAAGATACAAGGAAATAATGTTATTCCTATTGTCATTTGGCATGAAAAAGGAGTCAAATTTCTTGTTTTACAGTGATAAACACTGCTTATTTCTCACACTAGTATGTAAACTCAAAGCTAAGCCTGATGTATGTATGTTGTATATGTGTTTATTCTCAGAATGATAGCTTGATGATTTCTGCTTTCTGTATGTCATGTTTAAACCTTTAATTTATTCTGCTTTTCAGAAATGTAATCTGAAATTCGTCTTGCTCATCAGAATAATTTTTCTTGTGCTTGAGAGCTCTGCATTGATCATTATTTTACCAAAGCAAAAATTTGAATGTGAGAGTACTGTGAATGATCTTTTAGCAAGAGCTGGAGATCTATTTCTTTATATAGGAGGGATAAAGATGGGAAAATACTGTATTCCTCTGTGTGTGCATGTGTTTTATATAGAGGCTATGGAAAGGAGTGCACACCTGTATTAATTCTGAATGTAAATAAATGCTGGTCAGCATGGTGCTATTACATTTGGAATGAGCTTGCACAAGTGTGTCATGTCAGAGGCCTTAGCCTGTTCTATGTTTGAAAGGATTTGGCCACTGTTTCCAGTAGCCAGTTACTCTTTCTCACTGTTGTCAGCTGGACTGGTAGGACTATGGAGTTGACTTAATCTTCAAGTTTTAACGTTGTACACAGAGAAGACCTGCCTTGTCTGTGAAGGTGAATAGACCACAGTGTACACTCAAAATTAAGAGTAAATGATTGAATAAAGAAAAAAAATAAAATAAGGAAACATAAGGCTTATGAATTCAACTTAGGCATTTTTTATTTGGAATATTTCACATTCTTTATTGTTTCTAGTAAAGCTGTTGCCACACCATATATTTCATGTCTTCCATTTGTATGTGAGGATATTTATGTACACATACAACAAGTTTTTTTTCCAAAATCAAATTCTGCTCATTTCTGGAGAGTCTTGGTGTTGTAGAAAAATGTATTATGGTCTTCTGACAGATTTCTCTGTAAGTTTTGGTCAAGAGAGTTGAGTTCATCTCTGTGGAAGTAATGGCAAGTTGTTTAAACCCTGCTAATGTCTTAGGGGAACATGGACATTACTAGACATTTATGTGCTTTCATTTCTACCTTAAACTTTTCTGTGAACCTGTATTCATTGAGCTTTCTTTGCAGAGAATTTGAAAGCATAGGAGAAAGGAAAGAAGTACTTAACGCAAATCATAGAATCATAGAATGGCCTAGACTGGAAGGGACCCTGTTGCCAGGGATGCCACCTCTCGACTAGATCAGGCAACACATGGGGATTCTCATTTCTAGATCAATCCATGTGTTTTTATTATAATGTTAATTTATAAAATCTCTCAGAGTGTGAAGACGTGGTGAAATGAATCCATATTCTCCCCCTCATTCAATGCAGGTTCGTAGTCTTTGTAAGCATTGTAAAATTGATAAAAGACTTTGTAATCTATGATAATAAATGATAGTCTCTGATACTATAAAATCCTAAAAGAATATCCTAAATCTGCAATTTATGTATATGTGTGTTATTTTTTAAATCTCTGAAAAGCAGTAGATGATGCTGTCATCTTGTTTTAAACCTAGCATTAATCTTTAATTTATTAGTTATGCTGTGTTTCATATAGTTGTGCTGTGTTTCATGAATACAAATAAGGCAGTGATCTAACTGTCTGAACTTTCCTTTTTTGAATGTTTCGGTTTTACTAATATTAGAAATTAAACATGGTATCATTTATTGGCTTCTGTCATGATAATGTAAACTTAAAAAAGGAGTTGAATTAAAAAGGAAGGAATGAACTGTGTCTGTTCAGCCTAGTAAAGAAAAGGCTCAGGGGGAATCTTACCAATCAAGGCATACATATACCTGGCGGGAGGGTGTGAAGAGGGCAAAGCCAAGCTTTTCTTGATGGTATCCAGTGTCAAGGCAAGTAGAAATGGGCATAAACTGAAATACAACAAAATCCATTACATAGAATAAAGAACTTTCTACTGTGGAGGTGGTCAGATAATGGAGAGGTTGCACTGGAAGGTTGTGGAGTTTACATCCTTGGAGAGATTTAAAACCCAGCTGGACACAGTCCTGGGCAACCTTGTGTAGCTGACCTTGCTTTGAGTAGGAGGACTAGTCTAGAGGTTTTCCAGAGGCCCCTTTCAGGATCAGCAAATCCGTAATTCTAGTTTGATATTGTGCATTATCTAGACCTATTTAGTTGTAAGTCTTTAGTGTAATCAATAGTCAGAGCATGGTGAGAGGGCAAGATGGAGAAGAGGCAAGATTGTAAGACAGTGCCAGTTTTATTTATATTTATTGTTGAGTGGCTAGAGACCTGTTTGGAATCCTTTGTACGTAAGCACAATTAATTAATTCTATTTATTTTTTTTCAGTGAGTAACTAGTAGTGTGAGTAAGTCCTGTAAGAACCAGGCTCAATGCATATTTCTTCTCTTAGTTAAGTGCATGTGCCTTTTCTGCCTATGTTAGGAAACAGGAAGATGGTGCTTTCCAGGTACCATTGTCTTTGATGGCAGTACTATTCTTTTTCTTTAAGTGCAAGTGGAGCATCTGTTCAGGTATTGTTGGATTCTGGGCGAGGTTCTTTTGTTGACAGAAACATGTGGCTAAGCCAACTGCATAAAGAACTTCAAACTGGGAAAACAGATTCTGCTGAAGATTAGCACAAAACCTTTCACTTCTTCACGGAGATAAAGGTAGAAGATGAATTCACCAGATTAATTTTTTTGAAAATGCATTAAGAAAATGAAAAGGAGAAGTGAAGAGCTTATGATGATAAAGTTGGAATGCAATATTTAATTTTCTGTAGATGATTATTAGATAATTGTTAGGTGATTGTTAGATTATCATTCCCATGAGATGCAAAATCACTTTTGTTTTTAAACTTCCCCTTTTCATGCAGAGTTGTATGCCAGCTTGTAGTCTTCTAAAAGTATTCATTTTACTGCAGAAATCAGGTCTTGGCATTGTAAAATTATCCTTAGAAATTGTCGTCCCTAGTGACAGTTTTGTTATGTTACTTGGGATAAATAAAATCACTGGAATTGTGATTCAGCTGATGTAACTGCCAAAAGTGCCTGTCCCAGAGATATGTACCACTGAGATGTGAGTTTTTTTCCAGGAAACCAAGGAGTAGAAACTTCTAGTGGCTGGTTGATGGCTCTGTGATTTGACTGAGTTGAACATTGCAGTGACTTCATATATACTGATAGTTTCTATTCTCTTCATGTTCTGTCTAACTGTTATAAAAGTATCCTAGAATATGGTGCTGCATGTATCATCTAAGAATGTTGCTTCATTATATGTAGGTTGAGATTTTCAGGGTAATTTTCAAAGAACATTATAAAGCACTTAAAATTTTCACAGTTTCATCTGCCTTCTACAAAGTGTTTTTTCAAAGTGCAGTTAAAGTCAGACCAGAATCATTATGGAAGGATTTTATTTTTTTTCTTAAAAATCCCACAGCAATACAGGTAGTGTTATATTCCAGTTCTATCCCCAAAGAATTTCTGCTGCCAGTGATTTTTGTCAGTGCCTCAGTACAGACCAGGTGTTTGTTCTACTTCAGAGTTGCTTAAACTGTCATGGCAGTATTTAAGTAGGAGTTAAGTGTTGGACACAACCATGTTGCTTTCATCAGGTGGGTTTTAACAGACAGCTTTTTGTTAGTAATATAATTAAAATGATCATGTTCATTAGTGCCTCTTATGTGCCAGATGTTGCTCTAATGTGGCAGATGTCCTCACCTTGGTTTTGAACAGTGTGTTAGGCCAAGTATGCTCCTGACCTTATTTAATTTGCTTGCCACATTTGAAAGTTCCACTCTATTTACTACAACATTTTACCTTCTAAGTAGATATATTTGTTAGCTAATTGCCATGTAGAAAAGCTTTTGCCCAGCTACCCGAGCTCTTCTTTCTCTCTCTCTCTCAAATTGGCTAGAATTCTGGTCTAGGCTAGCATTATGTGGGCAGTTTTATGCATTTTTTAATAACAGTTTGATATTCCTTACAGAGCACTTCACCAATTTATAGAAATTTTATTATACAAGTGGTTGCTCAGGACAGAAATGTAACCTCTTAGGAGATGAAATGTGATGAAATGAGGGAGTTATTTAAATGCACTTGCTAACGCCACAGGGCAAGAAGTGAACTGCAATGTTTCCAGTTGGAAATGAGGAGGGAATCTGGGTGAGCAGGATATAAATACTAGATTTGGGACTCAGCCAAAATACCAGGATTAACGTTCATAAACTTGTCAAAAGTGTAATGAGATCCTGTAATCATTCGCATCATCACATAAACAGTACATTTTCATGATACTCCTCTTGACATCTGACTAGGATGCCATTTTAGTACTCACACAGAGGGAATTTCACCACTGCCTACATCACTGGCTGTGTCTGCATTAACAGATAGCGTGGCACAGTAGGAGAACATCTGTAGATCACAGCAGCGGCAATTGAACCTTTACATATTGCTTTGGAGGAAGAAGAGGCCTACTGGGTTCAATCCAGTCCCCTGGATTGAATGTTCATAGTGTAAGTGGGATTTGAAGAGGTATGAAGGAAAGTGTCCATGAACCTTTGCTTCTTGAAATCTGGGTATTGCAGTGGAGTCTGTCAGCTTTTCTCTGTGACACATAGATGAGTTTATCCCATATGGATGACTCTACCTAATATGGATGACTTCACCAGTCATCCATGTAAGACTGATTTTGTACCTGCACATTGCTGCTTGGTTTCATGGGACATGTGGAGGTTGATGCTTGAGCTGTCTTCTTCCTATGCTTTTGGTCACTGACTGCCCAGGAGCTCTGGGGAAGGGGGAGGAACTGCAGCAGCTGGTTTGAGGAATCCCAGCTGAAATGTCAAATTTTCCTGTGTGGTCTTTTGTCTGAGGAAGAAGACAGAAGCACTAACTTTCCTGATGTCAACACTGTTCATGCTTTTGCCCTGGTCCTCCAGAGTTCCAGGCCTGGAAAAGATTGCACTGGCAAGAGTGAGAACCAGCAATTGCATTTTCAGCAGTGAAGAAAACTGTCTACCATTGATGAAAGCTTATTAAGCTTGCACTTTTGTCAAAGTGAGCCTCTTGACTGCTGAAGCCATCAGACCAAAATAAATAGCCTAATCTGACCTGACCTAGAGAAAGATGATAGCTAAGGTTTTCAAACAACAAAATTTGATGGCCTGAGAGACCTGACACGGCCTCTGCTGTAGGAAGACAACTCAGTGAGAGGGCGAGGGAGCCTCACATAATACGGGTGCTACTTGGTGCTATAGGACATGGCCAGCAGCCTGCCAGGCTGACAGAGCAGTCCACAAAAAGATAGTCTTTGTCATTAACATCCATGGACTGGCCAGGTCCTGGTGTAGTTGAAATGGAACTGACACAGAATTATTTAGGGACACATGCAAAATGAAAAGGCACACTTATCTTAAAACCACGTGTACGTGAAAAGCAGACATATGTAACTAAACCAAAAATCTTGTCTATGAATTTAACCAGTAAACATCTATTTATGTGAAGATACTTATAAGAAATGGGATGCAGAGCTTTTGGTTTTTAACTTCAAATGCAGCACAGATCTATGGCTGTTCTGCAGATGATCTAAATGACTGATGGTTTGTAGCAGCACACAAAATATTTGTAGCTAAGGGAGAACTAAAATTTAAAGGCTTGGTAGGATACTTGAGCTGTCAGGGTAGATGGTTAACTTATTAGTCAAACAGACTCTGCTTGCTTCTAGTTTAAAAAGAAAATATTTTTCAATTTCCATTTGTTTCTGGGCTTACTTTTGTGTTAACATTTGGAAAACTTTTGAGTGTATTATGTCTGAACCTAGGAGAGAGTAAGTTATAATGAATAATTTATTTGAGAAACTTATTTTCTTTTTCTTGTTCATGGTCTGTTTGTGAAGTGCTGGTATTTTTTTCAGAGATATATTTATAATTTAAAATGCATCATCAACATGTGATATTTTAGTGCACAAATGCTGATGTTGTTTGGGAATATTATTGTGGTACAGCTCTGATTTTGTATTTGAAGTCTATTCTTTATATATTACTTAACACTTCTCATTTTTCATAGTTCAGTGAGGTATATTCATGGAAATTAACTGCATAAAGGTCACACGGATCTTGAAAGTAAATTCAAAAAGTTTTATGAACTATTTTTCATCTTTTTTTCCCAACTCAAATTTAATAATAGTGAAAGGACACTGTACTTTCTGGGGAAAATGTAGAAATGCCTACTTGATTTAGATTTTTTTACTAAGTGACTACTTCTGGAAATCTTTTGTCAAAACATAAAGTGTTTTCATATTCTGCTTTATGGTTCGTAGGTGCATTATATATTCCAGCTTATTTAACAAGGAGCGTGATCAGCCTTATTGTATTTCTCTTCTCATTTAATTTACTTTTTGTTATGCTGTTCAGATTTCTAAAAGCAGATGAAATTTCCACTTCTCTCTCAAGCCAGTTGGGACAAAGCAAGGTCAAATGTCTGGAGTGGTCTTTATCAATATCTGAATTTCACTTTCTTTCCACTTACATTTAGCCTGAGCTTTTATATATACAGTTTTAAATTAAAAATAAATAACATTCATTTGTGAATAGACAGACTCACACACTTGCAGGTTTGCCAATGAAAATAATTACATAGGTACTAAGTTATGCAGGATAATATAAATAAGCAAGCAAGTTGAAATCCTGAAGGGCTTTGGCTTGCAAGGTATCGTCTTGGTGTAAGGTCAGGCTGTTAATGGCACACTGAACATCCACGTGTGAAGACACAAAGGTTAAGTTATTATTAAGTAGCTTGGATTATTAGCTCCTTTCATTTCCTCCAGGTTTTGTCAAGCAGACAGCATGTACAACAAGCCCTGTGACATTCAAGTCCATTTAGGACTCCTTGGAATTACTTTTGAGGCTCAACTGGGAACAGATACTGAATAAAGGAAAGCTGAATTGCAATGAGTAGAAATGGGACAAGGAAATATTTAATCTTTCAGAAAGTTACGCATAAGCCTTTCTGTGCTGTTGCATAAAATGTGACTGAAAATGTAGTATGCCCAGATTCCCTGTGGGGTCAAAAGAGATCTCCATGTTGCTTACATTAGTGATGGCTGACATGGTATATAATTCGGCACTTCATGTCTGCAGAATTCCTTATTTAAATTGAGGCCAGGTTTCTTGTGCTGCTCACCTCACATCTTGAGCTATGCTGCCCTTTCTGTTAAACGTATTTAAGCAAGTACAACCATACAAGAGACAAACACAGTGACTACTGCTGAAATGGTTGAAAAGTCCTCCTAAAGACCTCTCTTCCAAATCCAGCATAGGGGGACAATGCTTTAAAAAATGTATTGGTCAATGCAGATCAAGGGAAAATTATAGCTAGAGCTTCAGTTTAAAGTCTCCTCCTGTTAAATATGCTGAAAAAAATTAAATTAAAAACCTAATGAAAATCAACGCTTACACTGATTAGTCAGTTTCTTTTATTCACTGATATTATCTCTCTTTGGACTGCAACTCAACTGTGGAATGCCAGGTGTCTCTAACAGAAAGAGCTGCAAAGATTTATGCATGGTGTTATCTCTGCATATAATGTGTAAGACTATTAACTTCAAGGCTCCTTTTCAGTGTTCACAAGTCAGTGCAGGGTGCAAGTTACAGCATGTCCCGCATTCTACAGAAATGAAGAATCCTTTCTTACTGTGACACTAGAATAAAAAATGCGTTTAATAATGACTCTGACAATTAATTCCTCCTTTCTCAGCTACACAATGAAAATCTCTGAAGCTTAGATTTAAGTTACAGGTGCAGGTCCATAGTTACAGGTGGTTCTTGTGCCAGGAGCTCTGGAAAGTTGTTAGTGTTTATAATCACTGTTCTTGCACTACTATATTAGTTTCATCATTTTCTTTGTCTGGTACTCCTGAAACTGGGTATTTGAACTGCTTAGATCACAGTAGTGGTGTCATTGCTTATCCATTTGCCTTCTCAACTAGTACATCTTCATACCACTTTTCTCACAAAAACTGCAAGAAAATTTAGATATGTCTGTGCCCTTTCAGTCTCACCATAGGAAATGATGCTTAGCAGCGCAACTGTGCATGATTACTTGTAGTTGCAACAGCTTCCTAGCAGTAGCATAGGATGAAAATATCAGTTGAAAAAAATGTCATGAAATATTAAATAAGTATCATCCAAGAAGACGTACAGTCTGAGACACTTGGGAAAAAAAATGTTCATTTTTAACTAAGTAGGTTTTCATTCAAATATAATCTTAATTAAATGGTAAACTTAGAAAATATGACAAATCTAAACTGAGACAATATAAATCAGACTATAACTTTTGTTAATTATTTTTAATCCTCTGTGCTGCACAGAGAGGAAGTGTTGGGGTCCATTCTATGCTCTTTTTCCAGATTATATTATTTTAATTACAAATTAAATGTTTTACTACCTTGAGATCAAGCCACTGCAAACAAAAGGAGTAAGGAAAAGAAAGTATTATTTTGATATTACAGATGGAAAACTGAGAGAGAGTAAAATTACTTTGAGTCATAAAGAACTGTGTAAAAGAAAAGAGAAATTAAATGCAAGTCTTGAGTGACTCAAAGTCATGTCTTACAAGACCAATCTTTTCCTTAGTGTTTAATATTGAACTCCTTCATGATGAAATTCAGTTAGCCCATATAGGATCAATTATGAGTGAACTGAGGTGTGTATAAAAAAAAATTAGGGATAGAAAAATCCACCGTCCAGTAAACCCAAGGCTAGGATAAGGAGAAATATTACGAGATATTTTTAGTAGAAAGAAGAAGCCAGGCAGTCCATTTTAATACTGAGTTGAAAGTGGTCTGGAGAAATGGTAAAGTTGAAATGTGTTTGCTTATGTACATGTCAGGTTAAAATTAAGCCTAATACAATATTTTCAAATTTTTATTTTGGTTCCAACAATCACAATGTGGTCATTTGTCATCCTACATTGGAAAAAAGGAACATTTGTGATAAAAAAAATGTGTGTGAGACGCAAGATAAACAGGAAAGCGCAGGAGTTAAGCTGGCTGTCTCTCAGTTATGTGAGTTACAGTTCTTTGGTTATCTCCCACTGAAATATCTAAGTTTCTGTAGGATTGTGATAACAAATACTGCAAAAGTGGCAAATAAAACCTAAAACTTATAGTCTTAAGGAATTGTCATGACAAAGCCATTTACTACACTTGTTTTATTTTTTTTTCTTTTTTCCTTTTATTAATTGTAAAAAAAAATAACCTTTTCTGGGTTTCCTTGAAACCTGGAAAATTAAACTTTAATGTATGAAGTTAAGAAATTTAGAAATTTTATTTTGACAGTAATTAAAATATGACCAAGAAAATTATTTCTTTGGAATTACAATGGGGGTTTGAAACTACTGAAGGAAGGGAACAGTACCTGGATATATTATTGAGATTTCTTAAAGATCCTCTCTCTTCACTCACGTATACATATGTTAACTTCGGTGGAAGGAGTGAAAAAGAAAATCAAGAGCAATATCATTGTCTAAGGACTTATATTCTGATGCTGCTGTCTATTCCAGATCTGTTGCAGAAGCCACAGAGGTTGATCTCAACATGAGAGTTGGATTGCATACAGGCAGGGTGCTTTGTGGGGTCCTGGGTCTCCGAAAATGGCAATATGATGTCTGGTCAAATGATGTGACTTTAGCTAATGTAATGGAAGCTGGAGGACTGCCTGGGTAAGTCTGAGAAAGAACTGTAGAAAAATTAAAAAAAACCTGTGTGGGTGAAGAATTTATTTCCTTCTTTGAGTCTTTTGCAACGTAATTGTTATTGATAAGAAGGGTTGTGTTCAGTAAGAGCAACCAATGTATTATGTGATTTGTCCTGTGGAATTCTCCAAATGATCTTGATATTTGCAATAGTAATAGCTTAGATTAGAATCAAAACATTTCCAAATGAAATCCTTATTAGAAGCTGTTCAGATATGAAGAGTAGGAATAAGGCAGTGCTAGGAATGTAGGAATGCTAGATTTTCACCATTTCATGTTATAGAAGTAAAACCCTTACTCCGTTTACATGGCAAGATTTCCAACACTAGTAGCGTACAATAGAAAAAAATACCTGGTTATGCACATCCATGGGGCAGATTCTGGAATTTTAAGTACTACTTGGGTAGCCTTGGATCCAGTTTAAATGCATACAGTGTCCTTTCACAAAGGTGCATGAGTGTGCCTCTGTGTGCAACTCACGTTTGGGCTGGGATCTACCATTCTCTGTTGGGTTTTTACAAGATCATGATTTGCGGAACAGGGAGACGATGGAACCTTTTCGGTTTTGTGGTTAAGATGAGTGAACTCCTGTTTGTTGCGTATATCTGCCTTAGATGACTTTGGCAGCGTATTTTCTGTGTTCCTTACCTTAAAGCTTTCCAGTGAAAAATATCTGAACGCATGTTTGATAGCGGAAAGCACTAATAACTTTTCAGATACCTTCTGTGAAGACATGTCCAATATAAAGGGTCTTTCAGGAGAAAATGTGAATACAGTTGTCAGGATAAGAAAACTCATAAATAGTGTCAAAGGTAGCTGTGCTACCAAAACAAAGTGAACTAGAAAGCTATCTGCAAAACAAGTAAATGAAACAAGTCAGAGATGTGAAAGGGAACAGGAAAAGTTTCTCTTCTATGCACAGGAGACATTTGGAGTGTGAAGTCACAAGTTTCAAACAGCAGGATGTTTTTCCAAGCAGACAGTGAGGTAAACAATTAAGAAAGCCACTCAACAGGCAATATGCAGCAGAGACTTTCTGCAAATTGGCAAATCTACAAGTGTTTGGACAGTCAAAAGTCATATTTCTGTTCACTCAACTCAAGTTTAAAAAATGCATGTAATAGAAATAGTTATGTGTTCTATTTGACTGAAAAGACAAAACAATTTTTCTACAGCAAAAATGAGCAACTAGCTCGTAATGTATCTTTGCTTTAAACAACGTCTGTTTTTTCGCTCCAGGAAAGTTCACATTACAAAGACCACCTTGGAGTGCCTAAATGGAGACTACGAGGTAGAACCAGGATATGGTCATGAACGGAATAGTTTCTTGAAGAAACATAATATTGAAACGTATTTTATTGTGCCATCCCATCGCAGGAAGGTAAGCTCCAAAACTTCTAGTTTATTCTGTGATATGTTCTTGTAATTTAACAACTATTCTGTGATATTCTGAAAGCAGAGGCAATACTGGTACTTCTTATTTTGAAAAGCTCTTCAAGGACTCTTGAAATTAGATCTTTTGGTTTTGACTGAGGCAGGAATGCTATAAGAGCTAGCTTTGAACGTTACATAGAAAATATTATCAATTTTCTTTTAAAGTTTAAAAATAAAACTTTTTTCCCTTTACTTCCCCAAAAGGAAAATTTGTTTTATTCAGATTCTATAATCACTCTATCAGAACTTACATGATATGTTACTCCAAAAATTTAATTCACTCCTCCCTTCCTCCTTCCTTCAAAAGGATGCTTCAGAATATTGATACTCACAGCTTGGCTATTGTTATTCTAGTATTTACTCTTTCATTCCCATATTCCCATGCCATTTTACTTGTACTCTGTGTTGTGCTAAAAGGAGAAAGGCAACAATTCCTGTTGTGGACAAGAGGCAACAATTTCTGTTACAAAAGCGAGGCGACAATTTCTGTCCCGTTAAAAAGAGGCAACAATTGTTTCTGCAAAAAGTCACATGGCCAAACTTCATGGATAAAAGGCAAATCAGTTTGGCAGAAGCTAAACTGCTTTGTGTTCCAGCTTGTCCTCAGATACCAGAGGGGCTGGGAGCGGCTGGGCTTAGGTTCTGAGTGATGCACAATTCTACATTACTAATGGGATGCGTCCATACACCTTCGATCTGGCAGTGCCCCTGGATTTATGAGGCCATCCTTCACAGGGGTGGCAATATACTCACATGGCCAAACTCCGTGGATCAGTGTCAACAGGGACTCATATGATCAGATTGGAATCAAATACTCACATGGCCAGACACCATGGATAAAGGGTCAACAGGGACTCACATGGCCAGGTCAGAATCAAATACGATTTATTAAAGCAACAAATACACAAATTCATTTTGATTGCTGCTGATAGTGACCATCTGCAAAGCATGTGCAAGACTTACAGATAATAGATTATAAGCAGCAGTAATAGATTATAAACAGCTCTATAAAGATTTCTTAAGCGTCCCAGGGCAGCTCTTGGTGAAATCAAGTGCTCGGACCTTACCCAAAGGTGTCCCTGTGGAGGTGAAGAGAGGCTCAGCCCATTGACTGATCCCAGGTGGTCTGTGGCGGTATCTCCCCTGATGATAGTGGCATCTTCCCTGACGTTCCCCCTCTCTTGGGCCATTTTATATTATTTGTTACCTTTCAGGTGGATCTTGAGTGACTCTAGTCATGCATATCTTTATTGTAATTGGTGTAAATTCTGCTTGCTTCGCGTTTAAAGGTACAGACTAGAAAAATTCAATACACAAGCTCAGTGAGGGATGGTCGCACCTTGGAGGCGGGTAGCTTTTGGGATGGAGGTGTGTTTTGGTATTATAATGAGATTATAATGAGCATAGTTCACCCAAAGGAGAGCATCTATGAAAAGATGACAGACTCTTGGACCAGGATAGTAACTGTGGAATCAGCTGACCCCTTGACGTCTCCAGGTTTGTTTGTGTTCACAGAGCTTGATCACGATATCTCCACAACAATCCATGCTCTGTGGGATTTTCTCTTCAGGTCAGAATCATTAAGCTGCCTTAATGCTACTGACCCTTAAGCTTGTTTTGGAAATCTTTGTGGGGAGAGCTCCTTATGCCCCAGCCGCACGTTGTCCTGGAAACTTTCTTGATGTTCCAATGTGTGAACAATGCTATGTAGGCAATTAAGTAATTTCATATAGTTATCCCGTATCAAATGCCATGAGAATGGTTAGTTTTTTGAGGCCTAAGCGCTCTGGCAATGTTTTAGCCAAGATGGTTACCTTGCAGTTAGAACTAAAGTTTAGGCAAAGGTGCCTTAATCCCACACTATGGTAACCCTTTCTGTAATCAACTTTTGATGCTGGTGAGTCCTTTACTGGGCTTGGAGGATTTCCCAATGAGTAGACACAGAAAAAGTGGTACTCACACAAATGTCATACCCACAGCATAAAAGTTAGTGAACTGAATTCAGCAGTGATTGAACCAACATCCCCAGAAAATCTGAAAAAAACTGCCATGTTGCCAAGCTGCACAACACAAGCCCTTTTATCCAGGTTAGAGGAAGAAGATTCTGCTTTAAAATGTACATACCGCTGTTCCACAGATCAGGTATTTTTGCTGAAGCTGAATAATTTTTCTAAGATTATTGCAACAAGTAATATATTTTCTGTACAAAACACGTTTGGGGTTTTTTTCTCCTGCCACACTGAACTGTTCCTGACAAATTCAGTGTCCTCCTTGCTTGCTTTTTCACCTCAGACTCACACAATGATTTTGGTTATATCTATGTTAACTGTCCTTCCCTCCAAATTTTATTAAGCTCCCCTCTCTCTTCAGCTTCTTCCTTCTGTCAGACCACTGGAAATGTGCTGGGGAAAGAGAGTAAGTCAGCAGTCCTGTTGAGGGACAATAATGATTTCTGCTCTTTCTTTTTTTTGGTGGAGAACAGAAATTGGAAAGTGTGGAAAGAATAAGGTAAGAGAAGATTTTGGCTAATTTGAGCAGGAATTTAATTTCTTACGTGCTGCTCAGGATTTAGCTGCCCCTGGTAGAGATGGATGAGACTTTTCATTCTAAGCAGATTTTCAGAACAAGGGGAGCAGAGGCCCAGCAGTGTGATGGTAATATGTTAAGTCTCAGCATGTAGTGAAGGTGGTAACAGTGTTTTTTCAACGGGATCGCTTGTGATTGCACCTTTCTTCCTCAGCCAGTCACTGAGTTTAGGGCAGCCTTTAGTTCTACTACAAAATGTTTTGTGACCTCAGTAGGAGTCTCAAAATTCCATAATCATCATTTAAACACATTCAGTTTGTTCCAACCTTTTCCATATCAAATGAGGCTTATCTTAGAAGTTACCTGCCATAACATGTTTACAGCAGGAAAGAAAAAAGTGGGCTAGATTTTGGTTTGGCAGTCAATGAGAGTTTTAACTGGTCATTTTCTTGAAACCAGAATAGGTTCCTAAATTAATCAATCCCAATAAAGAAGAAAATCTAAGGGAAGTTTTAATTAAGGTATGTGTGTTGCTTATTGCTGCTAGATTTGTGTGGGGGGTTTTGGTTGTTTAGGTTTCTGCTATTTTCAATCGTACAGCAGTATGTATAATTTCATTTTCTATGTTATTATGTATCAGGTTTAATTTCATATTGAGAAGAGATACAGATGAATCTCAGGAAACTGTTGATACGTTGGTGCACAGAGGCAAGCAGAGAGAAAAAGGGATAAATATGACTATTGCATTTAGAAACTGTGACAACACAGTTGTCAAGTCTGTGGCTTAAGCCACATTCACATACTAAAGCTTGACATTCACATACTAAAGTAAACCAGGTCAATGCATGTTTAATGTGCAAGGATGACAGCCTACTACTGTGTGAGCACACATTTCTTTTGTATTTGTAAGATTGCTGAGAAACTACTGGTGGCTGCTGAGAAAGGGCTGATCGGTTTGTCTTCACCTACATAAACCAAATGCCATCTTACCCCTGGGGGTCACTGATGGGTTTGTGGAAGCGGCGGATGCTGCGGTACAGCTTGGCTAACAACATTAGCTTGTCAACGTGCATCAATGGCATGTCAGCGAAACTGGCAGAAGGAAACACTTCATGAATTTTACTGGTATTGACTGACTTCACCGCTGGGCTCACAGATCAATCAGCATGTCACTTTGCTGTTTGTCACTGTGCATCACAGCCGTCCCCAGTCTTCGTATACTTGCATACTAATCATTGGACCACGAGCTACATAATAGTATATTTACCTTCAAAATAAACACCTGCTGTCCCCTTCCACCCTAATTCAGTCATTAACTCTTCAGAGACGTAGCAACAGAAGGCTACCTGTGAAGCACAGACAGGATGGAGTTTCTTTAGGCGAATGCAGGTGTCTGCTGGTTTAATATGGTATTCCTTCCTCCACAGCCTCAGTAGCTGAAGTGCAGACACATTTTTAATTCTTTATGGATCATCTCTGACATTAATATGAACTGACTTTAGCAGGTATGATGCCAAGAGGAATGAAAATCAATGTTAGGAGCAACAGATGGCTGAGAATCTGTTCAATTTGAAAGGTAAATAGGCCCACTTAAGTTTTTTAAATATTTTATTTATTTATTTAGAAGACACATAACCCACATGCTTCCATATTTGGTCTGACAGGAAGATCTTTCACCACAAATACTGCCCAGGCCAAGAATGGGAATAACAGTATATGATGACTCATTCATGTACCAGTTACATTTTAAATATGAACAAAGTATAAAGTATACCCATTTTTAAAAATATTTTATTGAATCAGCTAACAACCACATTTTTGTGATCTGATCTGATTGCTAGTTTGGGATATAAGCTAATACGTATGAGAGAACTTCCAAGTGGCCATTAAGGCAACATTTTTCTTTATATTTTGTTACAGTTTTTATTTTGCTAAAGAGTATATTGTTACTGCTATTATTATTATTATTACTGTTGTTATTGTTATTAAGCAATGTCAGACTGGATAACATTCAGCTTCTAAATGGACTTAAATAATTAATCTGATTTCCAAAGATGTACAGAATTTTTCAGAAGTAAATTAAATTTTTTGGTGGCCATCATAGTTAAAAACTTATGCAAATATGCTTTTAAAATATAATGCAGAATAATGCCCTGACAAAGTTTCTAGTTCTAAAAATGCCAGCACATTTCTTGTAAGTTTAATTACTTCTTCATGATTTTTTATATTGATACTAAAACTTCAGGTGATGTGACCAAATACTGCACTGACTGCACAAAATTTGAAAAGTTTGTTTAATGCAACTAACCAGAAGTCTGACCACATACACAACTGTCTTGGACTTTTAAACCGGATCTGATCTGATTAGAAAAACTTTCTAATATATTAAATATTCATAAGATCCATACTCTCTGCTTTAGA